CCTGAACCCCAGTTCGGGCTAGTCTTTAAGAGCCGCTGTGCCAGCATGCTGTTGTAGGTAGGCCGTGATGCCTTGAGTAGTTGAGATAAAGGCTGGAGAAGACTTGGCCTTCTCCAAACCATCGTGCTGATCTCTCAGCTGAGGTCCCTGCTCCCATGGCTGCACATTCAGGGTCACACACGTGGTGGCCCCAGCATGAGCTGTGCTCCACAGCTGGCTAGAGAGCTCTTCCCTCCTGCCATCCCTCCCCTCCTGCCTGTAATCACAGGCCCGGCAGAGGTGAAATGTTCCTTTACAAGGGGCTGGTAGTGTACGGTCTCAGCTGTGCTGCTGCTGCCAGCTGGCCACGAGCAGCAGCAACGCTGCCCGGGAGAGACGATCGCTGCCCAAGTGGGTTAGGAGGCAGTCTCCAAGAGGAGGATTTAGCATGGGCCTGGGGTCAGGAAAAAGTCCAGTAGAAATCAATAACTGAACCCTCCATAAATAGTCCTGCAAGCTCTGGCAAATGCATGTGGGCTATCTTGCTTCAGGTTTGCTCCAAAGGTTCCTGAAAAGCCCCGAGCGCGGCCACTTGTGGCACAGCTACTGGCTGTTGGAGGAGATGCAAGTCTGCAGCGGGAGGGTTTGCTGTACTCTCCCACCCTCTGGCTGGTGTGACTCCTGTGCTCCCACCGCCCAGATCCCCAGTGCACGTAGCTGTAGGTGCAAACTATACCACTACATGGTTTGTCTTGTGCTGTGCCCATCACCGAGCCCATCCTGTTAGTGCATGCGACAGGAGCAAGGGACCTCCCTGGGAGACCTGAAAACCAAATTAGCAAGACCCTCTTGTTTACTGGTGATCTTAGGGGCTCGGGCTTGATATTGCCTCCTTCCTGGTGTGACTGTAGTGCACTGGCATGGGGAAAGCAGGTTCTTGGGTGTGGAGATGGCCTGGTGGGCACAGCAAGGGATGGTGAGGGGAACGTACATTGCACCTTGGCTTTCTGCTTCATCCCAGGTTTTAACAGTGAACGTCCAGATGATCAAATTTCACAATTTTAACTACTTCTCATTAAAACTGTGAAATTTGCTTTGAGAAACTTGCCTTGTTCCTGTGATGCCTGAGATATCAGGGAGAAGGGGTTTGATACCTGTCAAACTTTAATTTTGATGAAGAAAGGTTGAATTCTTTGTAAAAGCCCACCCCAACACAGTGTCCCCATGTTCTGGTCAAGAAGGGCACAGTTCTGCTGGCATCTGGGAATTCACCCCCTCATTCCTGCAGCCTGGGAAGTCACCTCTTCAGCATGAGATTTGACTTTTTCACACCTCTTCCTTCGAGGCTCAGCTTGGTTCAGAAAGGGATTTAACATTTACAAGAAAGGTGACTCTGAAGTCCTCAGACTTCAGGACTAATCTCAGTTGGGTTACAGCTTTCACTCCAGGGAGATTACAAAGAAACATACAGGAGATCAGCGTGGGTTTTCTCACGTCACAAGATGCAGAGATCAAAGTTTCTGACCTCTAAGTTAGAAGGAAGATCTCCTTTCATGATGCATGAGGAGGAACCAAGCTCTGGATGTTTTGGACCTCTGCAGGGCTCTGGAAATGCAAAAAGTCATCAAAAGGTCCACTTTCCTTCCCTATCAGGGTGGGCACCAGGGTAGCTGGAGCTGTTAGTGGTGTTTGGGGCAGGACTGGGGGAAATGAATAGCTTTCAGCAAAGCTGCAAAAATGAGCCTTTCTGGCAGTTGATAAGAGGGGAATATTTTACTAGACCAAGAGTTTGTGCATTACCTGGAAAAACAGTTTTGTTTAAACAGGGCTTTGGTTTTGTTTTATTTTACCCCAGTAAAGAGAAGGCTCCTGCTATGGAAAGCCACATCAACCTCCTCCAGGTGTAGGGATGCTCAGGGGCCACAGCAGATCCCGTCCCTCAGCAAAGGACAAAGCCCTCCTCAGTCCTAAGTGGGCTCATGTCACCATCTGCCACCTTGATACATGGACGATGGGTGATGCCTGCAGTCAACAGACGGGAGAAACAAACATCAGAGAGAAATCCTGCAAGTCCCGTTATGGCTTATTCTGGAGCGAGCTGCTATGTCTGTTGGTCTTAAAAGCATCGGTGGACATCTCTGCCAAGAAAGTGCTGTGAACCCAGTGATTTATCTCTTTTTTTTTTTTTTTTCCCCCTGATGCTCATTAAATTCAGAATTTGCCAGCGCTGCTGCTGTATCCAGCTGAATGCGTGTGATTCTTGGCTCCCAGCAAGGTCCTCGCTGCAGATACCGTGTGCTTTGGCAGCCAGGCTAGTCTGGGCTGCAGGATATTACGCCTGGCAGGGACACAAACCCCTTCCAGTTCCTGGAATTTGGATTGTCTCGTGGAGTGCTGATTAAGCAGTGCTTTCAATCTTCACCCAAGACAAAACCCTCGCCCCGTTTCCGCGCAGAGGCTCGGTGTGGCTCGGCTGCTGCGTGGCAGCGGGAGCTGCAGTGGGTTTGCTCTCCCTGAGCCCCAGGGAAACAAAAACTCAGGAAAAAATCCTCAGAGGCAAAGCTTTGCAGTTCACAGCGCTGGATGAGCATTCGCTGCTCAGGACTCAGTCTTTTGTGAAATAATAAATCATTAAAAATACCCTCCCTATAAGAGCCCCAGTGCCCTCCCTTCCTGGGAGTGCACTTGGCAGCAGCTGCTCCTCCCAGTCTGCCCAGACCATGTCCCCAGTCTGCCCAGCTGAGATCGCTGCTGCATGTCCCCATCTGCCTTTCTAATCCACTGGGAATAAAACTGTCTTTACTGGCCTTACTAATGAGAGATTTAATAGCTGGGGTTGAGTGGAGGGAGGCAGCTCTGGAGCGTGCTGTCCTGGTGTGGTACAAAGAACCTTCCTGCTGCCAGCCCTGGCATCTGCCTCCACATAAGGGTGAAAAAAAATAGGCATGTCAGTAGGACTGGTAAACTGGTGATGGTGCTTTGCCTGGCACCTGTGGAAAGGTGACTGGTGTTTTGGGGTGGTCTGGTGCTGGGAAGGTGAAGCTGAGCTACTTAGACCACCTACACCTGGCAGCCTGGAAAGCCAGTGGGGTCTGGGAGCCACCCTGTCACCCTGGCATGCCCAGCGCCGGCATCTGCGGCACGGCAGAGCCCCCGGCAGCGTGCCCAGCCGTGCTGGTTCGTGGGGTGCTGCTGCTTTCTGCACCAAGGGATCCCCTCCCACGGCACCGCGGTGGGGAGATGCCTCAGAAGCAGTTTCCCTGTCTCCTTGCTGGCACAATCATCATCCCACCTGCTGGGTGGGGAGTGGGTGGAAATATCCCCCAGCACATGTCTCCAGCCACTCCCCGGGGCCTGCAGCATCTTGAGTTGCTTTACAGGAGAGTGGATGCCAGGAAAAACATACACGGGGGACTATTTCAGCAGAGGCTCAGAGCAGGGTGAGGCTGTATTGCTATAACACATCATTTCAGCACCTGGGCATTATTCCCACTCCACACTCGGGTCTGCTCCGTCCCGAGCTCCTGGCGGGTTGCACAGCGGGGCTCTGGGGCGGCTGGGTGCAGCTGGCTGGGCTCTGGGATGTGCCATCAGTACCGGCACAGGGCAGGAGTTGTGTGTCTGGGATCCTCAGTTCTCATCCCAGTCAAACCAGTGAGGATGAGAAGCAGCAACACGCTGCTGCTGTGGGGATGCCTTCTCCTCCCCGCACCATCCCAGCAGCCTTCTTGTCTCCCTGCCCGAGCACCAGCTTTTCTCTGGGCACGCTCTGGTCTCAGCTCCGTGCCTCCATCTCTGTGTCTCCCGCCAGCTCAGGAGGGGGAACTTGGCCTTGGTGCTCCCCTTCATGCAACTGAAGAGCCAAATCCTGGATCCAAACCTGCCTGCGCCCTGGTGAACCCAGGCCTGACGAGGTGTGGGGTGAGCACCTCGCTTTCCTGGGGCACTGTGGCATGGGGGGATGATGGCAGCGAGCCCCGCTGCAGCTCGCACGTGGCCACTCACGCTGGCTCTGAGCACGGTGGGAGGAAGAGATGTGACGGGCATTGCAAGCAGTCCCTCCAGCCCGCCAGGCTCGAAGTTTTGTGACCTGCAATCATTCAGCTGGCCCCAGGCGTCGTGACTGTTTGGAATGTTGTAGGGAAACACAGGTGATGCTGCAGGATTGTCTACAGCTTTCAGACCTCTGCTGCCATTTCCCCTCCCTGGGGACAGACACCTGGACACCGGTTGGGCTGCCCAGGGGAGCAGAGCCCACAGAGGAAGGGCTGTTTTCCCCTGAGATGCCTTTGGCCAGGCAGTGCCAGCCCAGGTCAGTGGTGGGGATGCAGGCAGAGCCCCCACGGGCTGCGGCAAGCCCTAGTCCTTAGGGAACCCATGGGCAGCAGTGCCCAGCCTGGCAAGTGGCTTCATTTCTAAGGGGGACAGCTGCTCCCAGCCACCCCCAGAAAGGGACATCTCTGCCATCTGCTCAGCTCACACCAAAGCAGGGTGACCCCGGGGCTCCCAGCGAATGCCACACCTTGCCAGGACTAAACCCCCTCCGCACCCCTCGCCGACCTGGATTCGCTTCCCTATCCACAGCTCCTAGCAAGACCCCAGCTGGGAGGGGATGAACAGGGGAGAGATAACTCTGGGAATCTCTCCTTGTAGGTAGCTTGAAAAATTCCCCAGCCAGCAGCCGATGAGCAGCATCTCTGCCCACTGGAGCCGGGCTCTGCTCGCTTCCCCCCGCCAGCACCGTGCACGGCTCAGCGTGCCTGCGTGCGCGCCTGTGTGCGCGGATGCATCCACCAGCCTATAAATCTCCTAGCAGGGCTCTTTCCAAACTTCAGGACATTCCCCGGGGGAAGAGTTAAGATGCAGCTTTTGCGTCAGATGCCGCAGCGGGCTGCCCGCCGGGGCTAGGCTAAACCTCTCTCTGCATCTGCCCCAGCAGGTTGTTTGCAAAGGTCAATCCCACCGGCTGCCGCCGCCGAGCTCAGCTGCTCTTGGCTCAGTCCTCAAGGTATGTAGTCGGGGGAACATCCTCCCCGCTGCTCTGGGGAAGGGCTGGCAGGGATGCTAGGAGGTGCATCGGCTGACAGAAGAGGAGATATTCCAGTATTTTCTTTTTTTTTTTTTAAAAATTCTTCTGTTTTTGAAGTGGTTTATTTTTCCTTCCCCTGAGATAAAGAGTCGTTAGGATTTCTTGCTGATGCTTTTAAATCTTGTCATGTGTTCCTTTATCTATACGAGATTTCCATTTGTGCTGGGGATTTACTCAACACACCGAATGCCTGGGAAGTTACAGGGCAGGCGGCTGCAGCAAATATCTCAGCATGCTCCTAACTAGCCTCTGCCTGGCAGGTATGTGCAATAAGTGAAGAAATGGGGGAGATTTTCTACTGACTTTTTTTTTTTTTTTTTTTTTTAGGAAACAACAAGAAAACCAATTCCCCAGACACTTCCCTGCCAGTCCCGGGGAATTTGCTCTGATAAATGAGGTTATCAAAGAGATTAATTTTAAAATTTTATTCTGAAAAGGAAAAAAAGGAAAATTTATTTCCATCCTATTTTGCGAAGTGGTGTTTGCACATGAACTGCAAACTTGAGCAGTGCCTGTGTTATTTTCTCTCCTAGATCCACGCGCCGGCAGCAGGGACCAGCGATCCGCCTTGTCCTTGCTTAACTCCGCGTGGGAGCGGAAAGCCGCCGGCCGATCCCGCCGGCCGGGCTAGCATGGCTGTGCTCCACTGGCACCTGTACCTCACTGCCTTGGGCTTCTGGATGACACAGCAGTCCAGCTCCTTCCTGCTGCCCAATGCTACCGAGGTCCTGTCCCCCCCTGGGGGCAGAGCTGCGGGCCTGCTGTGGGGCGTGGGGGTCCCCCGGAGCCGTCGGAAGCGATACCTCTCCCCTCGCGACATGAACGTGATTTTGGATTTTCACAACCAAGTCCGGGCACAGGTGTCCCCCCCCGCCGCCAACATGGAATACATGGTGAGTCAGGTTCTTATCAGGGTGGTTTTGGGTCCGCAGCTCTTTGCGGCTGTGGTGGGGTTGAGGGGCTCACCTGTGACATGGGCACCCAACCTGGTAGGGATGGGGCACCCACGCATCGGGATGTCAGGGTGCTACCCCAGTTTTGCAGCTGCACATCTGTCCTGGGGGATGTTTGATGTCCCTGGTGCAGGGCAGACCCATGCAGCCTCTACGCAGGAGGAATGGAGTCTCAATGGGGTGATGTTTCCACCCGGGGGCAGATTTAGGACTCCTAGTCCTGTACCTGGGACATCTGGGAGCTTGCTGGCTGGGGGATGGCAGGATCCATCCAGCTGAGATGCAGAGGTTGCATTAGGGGAAGGGAGGTGACTACAAGCATGAAAAGTTCAGGTCCCAAACCAAAGCCCAGGTGGAAGCCTCTCCCTTAACAGCAGCCGGGAGGGATGGCCCCATCCCAAGCTCCAGGATCCCTTGGGAGTGTGCCCAGGGATGCCAGCCCCTGGGAGAAGAAACATGCAGGAGTGGGTCGGAGAGGGGTTGCACAGCCTTGCCGGATCGGGCACCTCCTCTGGATGAGGGCCACCCCGGGCAGAGCTTTCCCCAGGGTGTCTTCACCCTGCTTGGAGCTCCTAACCCAGCCCTAAAGGGAGGAGAAACAAGGAGTCACGGAGAGGAGAGATTTCCAGCTGGCAGAGTGGAACCTTCAGGGCAGGAGGTGCCACATGCTGCTCTGCTCCCAGCAAGGGGACTGGGGCTCTGACGGGGAATCCGGGTGGTCCCTGAGTTCTGGTTTGGGAGAGAGGCAGCACCCCGGTTTGTTGGGTACCAGAGCAGGTCAGATGTGCCCAGGAACATCCTGTGCTGCTTTTTGCTTGGCCTGAATTCCTGCCTTCCAAAATAATTCTCCCAAAGCGGTTCAGGATGGGCGAGGAGCCTTGAAATAATGCATGAAGGAACCAGCTGTCCTCACCGGTTAATCTGCGGCCAGGGCTGCGGTGGAGGGCTGGGGATGGCTGTGAGCTGCAGCAGCAGCACAGGGCTGTGGGGTTTCATGCCTGGGCTCAGCTCCACCTTCCTCAGAAGGAGCTTGTTCCCGGAGGCAATCGCACACACAGGGCTTGCACTGCTTCAAGGCTTCCAAATTCTGCCTGGGCAGCGGGCAACCAGCGTGCCCAGGAGCCACGGCGGGCAGCTGGGGGTGGTTCATTGCTCCTGGACTTGCTGCCATGCTTCCCCTGGGCTTTTTGCAGCCTGACATGTGAGTCATGTTTCTTGGACATCCATGGGTGCTCAGAAACCCTCCCTGAGCCCAAGGGAGCAGGTTTGTCTTTTTTTCCCTCCTCTGGGCACCCAAAATCCCTGTCTGCCCTTTTCCTTTCCTCCTGGCCAGGTGTGGGATGAGCGACTGGCCAGGGCAGCAGAGGCGTGGGCTGCGCGCTGCCTGTGGGACCACGGCCCCCCCCAGCTGATGAAATATGTGGGGCAGAACCTCTCCATCCACTCCGGCAGGTGAGTGCACTGTGGGCAGAGCGGGGTCCTGGGGACCTCCCACACCCCACGATGTTGGAGGAGGAGGAGCAGCAGCAGCCCCTGGGTCAAGGAGCAGAGAGGTTCTGAGCTGGGGTTGCAGAGGACTGAGATGCAACCAAGAGGCACATCAAGCCCGGCAGGGAGGAAGGCACAACTCTTGCAGCAGGGTAAATGTGGGAAATCAGAGGTGCCTGCTGCTCATTTGGGGAGTATGGCATTCATCCCCTCTCTGCCTGGCACACAGACCAGGGAGATGTGGGGCCTGGATCTCCTCCATGCAGCTGAGTGCTCAGGTGCCTCCAGCGGGGGCCAGGTCTTCTGGTCTTAGGCACAAGCAGACTTGGAGCAAAGATATCACTATCTCCTTCTCCCCAGGAGCACTTGCCCGCGGCAGTACCTGGCTCCATTCCACCTCCCTTCCCCATTCCCTCAATGTGGAGCCGTCCACCCCCTCCTTTCCCTCGCCCGTGACCTCTGAGGTGGAGGAGGTCCACCTTACGCACGGCACCTTTTGCAGGTACCGCTCTGTCGTGGACATGGTGAAATCGTGGCACCAGGAGAAGCAGCACTATTCCTTCCCCCAGCCCCGCGAGTGCAACCCCCGCTGCCCCTCCAAATGCAGTGGCTCTGTCTGCAGCCACTACACGCAGGTGAGCGCCGCAGCCCCCCACAGCCCCCCACAGCCCCCCAGGACCCAGCTGCAAACCTGGGGGGCAGCTCACAGCACCTTGGGCTGCTGCAGCACCCAGTGCAGCGAGCAGCTCTTCTCCCAGCAGCAGCTGGGATGCAGGATCGAGACCTGGCAGCTGCCTGCTTCAAATCAGGCAGCAGTGCTGGCAGCAGGCAGCTGGGGGGGGGGGCAGGCAGCCGACGGTGATGCCCTCCCACCCTGGGCCCTCGCAGGAATGGGGCTGCTTGCACAGAGGTCCCTGGGGCTCACAGCCCACTGAAGTGCTGCTGGGACCTTCTGGCCAGTTGGCTGGGAGGTTTGAATTATTTTTAAGCCTTTTTCCTTGCTTTGGCCTTTTTCTCCTCATTACTCCACTGGCAACATTCAAAGGTGGTGAAGAGGAAAAAAAAAAGCCGCTTTGTGCTTTTTCCAAGCATGAATTCTCCCTGTGATGGAGCAGCTTTATAGCGCGCAGCCATGTCTGGCTCCCTGGGAGCGCAGCCCCTCGTCCCCTGGCACATGCACTGGCAGCCTGGCCCGCACAAGGTGGAAAACCTCCCTCTGCTCCCCTGCCCTGTGGCAAAGCTGTGCCAGCCCCTAATTACCTCCTCTGCACGGCTCCAACCTTTGCCTGAGCATCCTTGTGCGGCTCGTCCGTGGGGATGCTCAGAGATCCCCCGGGTTGCACATGGGCAAGATACATTTTTTAAGGAAGAAATTCAGCCTGGAGAGGCTTTAGGAGGAGCTTCTGGCTCTGACTGACCTCTGTGTGTGCAAGGGAAGCTGCTGTCGATGATTCAGGGTGAGGTTTGGGAACTGATCTGGGTAAATCAAAGAAGTGACCGCGACTCTACCGCTCACTGAAGTGAGCTTGGCAAGGCGGCCCCTTGCAGGGCAGCACGTGCCGCCGACAGAAGAGGGACAGCGAGAGATCACCCTTTGGTGACAAAGCACTGCCCCTGATGGGCACAGCACCCAGCCCGAGAAACCTGGGTGGGTGGGATGCGATTCCCTGGTGGGACGAAGCCCTGTGCTGGGGTGCCGGGGTGGCCGGCTGCGGGACGCCTGGGCGGGCGGTCGCTGACAGCGCCTGTTCTCCATCCCGGCGCAGATGGTGTGGGCATCCTCCAGCCGCCTGGGCTGTGCCCTCAGCACCTGCACCAACGTGCGGGTGTGGGGCAGCACGTGGCGGCACGCCGTCCTCCTCGTCTGCAACTACGCCATCAAGTAAGTGCGTGGAGGGCAGCTCCCAGCCCCCTCGCCCCCCGCCGTGCCATCCTCGCTCCTCGCTCCGGTGTCGGCAGTGAGGCGATGGTGCTCGGAGGTGATGCCCTCCTTTTTTTTTTTTTTTTTTTTTTTTTTTAGGGGCAACTGGCTGGGAGAAGCGCCGTACAAGGTGGGGCGGCCGTGCTCAGCCTGTCCCCCTACCTACGGCGGGGGCTGCTCCAACAACATGTGCTTCACCGGACTCAAATCCAACCAAGTCAGCTGGTTCTAGGGCTGCAGCCCCACGAGGAAGCCCCCAGGGATGGGGACAGGGTGAACCAGGATTATTTATAACACCATGTCTCCCCTCAGCTGCCTTGGCCACCCCTCGGCCCCCTCCCTGCCCCACTTTGGGTGGCTCTCAGAAGCTCGGCTGTCCAAATTGCTTAAACCCTAGAGCCACATAGGAAATGGCTTTTATAACACACCTCTCCGGCAGCGCTTGCGTTGTCTGGCTGCTTCCAACTTGCAGGGAAATGGGGATGGTTTGGGTCCGTATTTCCCAAAATAGGGAAGGTTTGGGGTTGCATGGAAGGAGCAGGGCTGGCTGGCATGGTCCCTGCTCTGCAGGCTTGGGGGGCTTTCCCCAATGACCCCCCATCTGTGCTAAGGCAGAGGCTGGTGTAAGCAAATACCAAGATGTTCGTGGCGAGCAGCTGGAGAAGTGGGGAGCCCCCAGCATGTCCCCGCTCTATGGCAGCCCCTCCAGCCACAGGGCTCCCAGCTCTGAGACCCCCAATAAAGCAGCCTGGAGACCCTCATCCTCGTGTCGGTCCTCCCTCACTCGCAGCCTGGAGCCTCAGAGTAACACCAACCTGGTGCCTTTGCTCTGGTTTTGGGGGTGAAGAGCGAAGGGATGCAGAAGCCCTCAGTGGGGCCACGGACCACGGCCACAGGAGATGCCTGGGCGCTTTGCTCCATCGTGTGGGAGAAGCCAGCACTGCTGGGACACCGGGTGACAATGACGCCAAAGGGCCACAAGCTCCCTGTCCCACCCAGGCTGCTCCACAGTACCCCACTAACCTGCCTCACCCCCAGCACCACTGAGCACCCCATTATCCACATCCCCCCCTCTCTAGGACCTCCCAGCCCTCAGCAAACTCCGGGGTCCCTGAATTCCCAGGCCTTGGGTCTGAGCTCCCAGCTGCAGATTCCCACATTGCAGCCCCCCACATCCTGGCAGCCCCGTTCCCCTCTCTGCATGCTCCCTTGGGATGCTCTTTTCCATCCAGAGGAGCAGATGTCCCTGATTTTGTCCCCTCAGGGCTGCAGGATTTTTAGAGCCAGGGTGCTGGAGGGTCCTGGGACTGTCTGGGACCCCTCAGTGCCTCTTCCAGCCTGGTCCCTTCCCGAGGCATACGGGAGATGCAGGAGGCCCTGCACTGCCGGCCAATCCCTTTTTCAGCTCCAGCTCTGGATCCCCCATATATGTGGCATCATCTCAGCCGCACTTCTTGCATGTGGCCCTGCTTGCCTCAGCGCAGCCCCCCAGCAGCAGGAGCTGCTCTTGCCACGGAGCCACCGGCAGCACAGGGGCTGTCACAGCCCCATGGGGGGGTTGGGGACCACCCCAGCACGTTCTACCACCGGTGGGGGCCCCGGGGGCTCCTCCTGGGTGCTCCAGTCATAGAGGGAGCACAGATGTCCCTGAGCAGCTGTGGCACCTTGCGAGTGCCCCCGATTTGGGGAGCAGAGGGAGGTGGGGAGTTGCTCCAAATGCCCTGCGCCCTGGCCCCGCGCTCCGGGTACCACCCTGCATCCCACCGCCGCATCCCCACGGCTCCCCATCCCCGAGCGACCCCTCTGGTTTTGCACCAAGGGGACAAGTCCCATCCCACAGCTGGGGGGTTTCGCTCCCTGCACCTCGGCCGGGCTCTGCTCTGCCCGTGCCAGCCCCCCCACAGCTCATCCCACAACCCCTTGTCTGCAGGCAGACTCGGCCCCGTGCCTGCAGGCGGGCTCAGCTCTGGTTTTCCCATCCCGGGCAGGTGACGGCACAAAAACCGGCAGCACCCGGGGCGCTGCGGAGCCAGAGCCGGCCGCCCCGTCCCCCCCCTCACATCTGGGGGTGAACCCCAGCCAGGCAGCTGCCCCGGCCTTGACACCGGGTAGAAACGGGAGCCCCAAAAGAGTCCAGTAAAAGCCATGTTTGAGTTTCTAGCTTGGCAGCAGTTACTATAGCTACAGCAACGGCACCTTGCAGATTGGTTTCCATAAGAGCTTGGTTACTATTTAACATCTCCACCCACATTAGCCCTGATTAAGCGAATCAATAAGATAACAGGAGAGGCAGGTTTCCTCGCCCTGCCTCTCCGCACTCCCTTCTGCCTTCACCTAGTTCCTTAGTGAAAGACATTTTTATTTATTTATTTAGATTTCTTTTTATTCCTCTACTTCCTCTGGTTTTCGCCCCAAGTGCCCATAGCAGTAGCCGGCGAGACATGGTCAATGTAAGCACCCAGCTAAGCGCTAAGATGGAGGCTCCATATGGTGAGTACAGCGTTCCCATCGCCCGCGCTGCCGCCCCGGCGTCGCTCGTGGGAAGCGGGGCTGGGAGCGGGCAGCAGCCCCCAGCCCCACGCCCTGGCCCCGCCGCGCTGCCCGGCCCCACCGGCTCAGGCACCTGCAAAGGCTGGAGATGGAGGTAGAAAAAGGCTCCCCGATTGATTTTTATGTACTATAAATACATATATATGTATTTTCTCTCTTTCACTCTGCTTGGCTCGAAGAAGAAGGCACGTGCCCGAGGGAGCAGAGCAGTCCAACCTGCTGGCAGAGGGGCTGCTGCAGGGTTCATGGCAGAACTGGAAGCGGTGTAGAGAGGAGGTGACGCACTGCCTCAGGACACGCAGCCAGCCCTGGTGCAAAGGCTGCGGGTGGCCCGTGGCACGCAGCCCCACGGCTGCGGGAATGGGCACAGCGGGCGCCCGCCAGCGCTGCTGCTCTCGCCGAGGGCCAGGGCCAGGCTGGTGTTATGGCTGGGCAGGTTTCCCAGCAGGGAGTGTAGTGCCGGGAGGAACGGCAGCCTCCGGCCTCTGCGGCGCAGAGCATCGGGTGGCACGTTGCTGCCCGGGGCACCCCGGCCGCAGGGAGATGCCCGCCGGGCCCGGGCCCGTGTTCCACGGGTGGCACAGCGGGGACCAGCCCGGGGCAGCCCCGCCACAGCAATCCTTGGCTGTGCCAGATGCCAATTGCCAACAACCTCACATGGGCACCAGCAGGACGGGTCCCCTGCCCGGGTTGTTGTCAGCCCGATGTTACCCTCGGGATGGGTTCAACTGTGCCCGTGCTGCAGCTTCCCCACAAGGCGAGGAGCCGGGGCTGGTTCGGTCCTGTGTGATCTGGAAAGCCCAGTTCCCTGGACATGGCCAGGGTGCAGAGTGAGGCTCCAGCAGACAAGATCTCACAGTTACAAGGTTCTCCTTGTGGCTCTCCATCACTTCCTCATGGCTCTCCATCACTTCCTCATGGCTCTCCATCACACTCCGTGGCTCTCCATCACATCCCCTGGCTCTCCATCATGCTACCTTGCCTCTCTTCGCTGTATTTTTCACATCTTTCTCGTCTTCTCCTTTACCACACCCCACTCATGAGCTTATCCAGCCCCACCAGCCCACACTCCAGCCACTGTGTGTGCTGCAGCCAGGCCCAACAAGGGTTTGTGGGGCTCCCAGACCACTTGCATTTTGCTCATGGCTCTATTCTGGGTGATGGCTTCTCTTGCTCCAGGCCTGCAGCCTCCTATGGGTACCACCTCCAGCTCTAACCCACCCTCATGCTGGGCATCCACTCTCCAGCAAGGCCCCTTGCCTCCTTGCCCCAGTCCCCCGCCCTCCAATACTTTCCAGATCGCTTTAATTTCGACTCACGTGGCCCCATGGTGAGCCATGGCTAGACGTGGGACTCGTCAGCATTTCAGTGGGTCCAGGGCCCATCACAACAGGAACGTATAGTAATTGCATAGGATCTGCAGTAGTGCCGCTGGGCCAAGCTGGAGCAGGGAGCTACACTCAGGCAGTTACAAAATGCTGTTTTAGCCCATTTTTACTGCATTGCTCTTTTGTACGTCTCAGGCCTGCAGGAGCTGGGGCTCTGGAGGAGCTCGCATCACCCATGGCTCTGAGCTGCAGGCGCCAGCAGCAGGATGGGGCCTTGCATAAAGCTGCACTCAGAAAAATGCCAAGGTTTTGGTCTGTTCAGTGCAGGTTGTGGTTTTGTGTCCAGCTGGTGCTGCTTGGGCAATATGTAAGGAGCCACGCGATGAAGGCTGCTCGTGAGCGGGTGGAATGAAGGCTTGATGCCTCTGAGATGTACAGAGGGACAGATCCTGGGGCGAGGGCACCTCTGTGGGCTGGCCCAGCAGAAGCGGGTGCTGAGAATCCTCCAGGCTGAAGCCCCAAGGCGGTCGCTGTGCAGGCAGGGACACTGCTCCCTCTCTGTTGCTGGTGGGGAGATGGCTCCTGACCCACCGACCTGACTTGTGCCTCATTTGCAGGAGAAGGGGAGGCTCAAGTGGTGATCCTGTCAGGCTGGGAGACACGGCAGTGCAGGGTGGCTGGGTCTGGCTGTCCCCACATACAAGGTGTCTGTGTCCTGCTTTGTCCCAGCATGTAAAGCCAGCCTGATTTCTGCAGCGAGCAGCAGGCTTTTCCTGATAGATGCGAACCAAGGAGCTGAATGAGCTCTTTAATCACTTACAATTAAGTTCTTCTGCCCACTTGCAGCTGGCTATAATGCAAGCAGCTGCTTGCTAGCCCCGGCACATCGGTGATCTTAAACATAGGCAGGCAAATCATTCAGTTATTAATTTTTCTCCTGATTTTTATTTTAAATCCTGATTTTCTCTTAATTTTTCAGCCTGAGGGTCAGTGACCAAGCCGCAGGCCGAGCTGGGGCAGGCACAGGCAGAGCCGGGTGCTGCGGGGCGGCTGGGGAAGAATCGCCGCACATCCCACCTGCGGCTGCTCTCCCGTGGCCAAACAAAGGCTCCTGCCGCGGGGCTGGGCTGCCCAGCCTGGGGCCTTGCGAGGGGGAGAGAGAAAAATCATAAGAATAAAAAAGCGAGACGGGCCTCCCAGACCAAAGCGAGAGGAAACTCGGAGTGTTGGCAGAAGGAGGGGAGTCCTCATAAATAAAACGGGTGAAAAAGTTATCCAAATAGAGGCGAGGAAGGGCTGGCGGGGATGGGGGACCAGGCAAGGGCTGGTGTCCCCGGGAGGCTGCAGCACCACAGGGCTGGGCTGGGCGGCAGGTTGGGCCCAGCAGCCGGGATGTGCCGTGGGGCAGATGGCAAAACCCTTCCCAGGGTCACTGGGCTGCTTCTTCCCTTGCAAAGCAACGGGGGTGCTCCACGCAGCGGGGTCGGCACGGAGCCCCAGCCGTGCCCCAGCCGTGCCCACCAGCGCTGCCCTCGCAGCCGGCCGGCCCCGGCCCTTGGCAGGACGGGCCACCCCAGCTGGCATCACACTGGCTTCGTGGTGGAAGCACATCAGTTCCACCAGATGAGCCTTCAGCCTTGGAGGGATCATACAGTTATTTTCAGTTTCCTTTAACAGATGGAAAGATTTTCTGATTTTTCCACCTCCTTATCCATCTCAGAGGCTTCAGCATTTCAGCATCCATTTGAAGCCAGGGATATATTCTAAGGGGGTAACTGGGTGCCAGCACTTGGCCTTGGGATGGCGAGTGGGTCTAGCCTGTTCTTTCCAGCAATGGTGTCAGCAGGAGCAGAGAGCGGGGCATCCCCACATGGCAGCTACGG